ACTCAGTGAGTGGTTTTGCTATAAGTCTGAATAGTTTTAGAGATTGTGCTACAGGAATCACAGTTAGGGTTTAAGCATTCACAAAAAACTAATAGCTGAAAATAGAAAACACAACTTGAACACACAGTTTTCCAAATTGTAGGAGATGAAAGATAGCAGTCTGACATGTTTTTAATGTGAGTGTTAAATGACACCTGAATAAAAATCTTCACAGTGTCACCGTTTTGGCCAAGGTAATGACATCAATACTAAACATCTTATTTGACACCATGTTTCTAAGATTTATATACAAAGTACAATAACCTTGGTTTTTCTGAATTTAGAATTAGAAAACTAATTAGAGGTCCAGGTCTTTATGTCGGTAGTTTATTTGTGTCATTTGGCTTCATAGACAAGTACAACTGGGTATGCTGATGAACGCTGATCTGAGGCCAAGAAGAACAAGCAGAAGCCATAAGAAGGTCATGACTAACCTGCAGTAGTGTTTCTGTGCTATGACGAACTCTGACTGCAAATGTTCAAATTAGTTGGATTTTAGAAAAAACAGAACCTGCAAAAACCATTTCAGACTTAAAAGAACAATAAATATAAAGAGTAGAACAGTTGAAGCTGGAAAATTGAAATACTAAAAAGAACACCTGAGAAGCTGTTGGTCAGTCACGTGAACCTGCAGGTGCCACCGTGCTATTACAGAACATTAATGTTTTTATTTATTCAGTCAATTAAGAGTAAGGAGGGACGTTTTCCACCTTCATGCAACACACACAAACACACACAGAGTTGTCAAACTGCAATTACGTCCTGTTGCATCCATTCAAAGCCCCTCTGCCATGTTTCTCATTATAAACTGGTTCCAGCACGTTCTTGGTAATTAGCACAGAGTCACCCTGCTGCTGCATAACCAAACGACCGGAGCCAAGAAATTATAAAATGGAGGCACAAAGGAGCAAAAGGCAAAAGTGACAAGAAGACGAGGAACCAGAAGCTGACGGACGGCAAAAGAAGAGAGATGGCTCAGAGAAGAATCAGGGGAGGCAAACTCGTGATGGGTGAGAAGAGCTCAGCCAATACAAAGCTTCACAGTGCTCTACAGATCATTTACTTGCTCAAAAAATGTAAAGAAATGAAAAACATTAAACCTGAGATTCTACCCATAAGAGGATTTTAGCTTAATTACAGTTAGAACCAATATTACCAGTTTGCTCACCAGCTCACAATCAAAGTTTTGGTCTTTAGCAACCACATTTCGGAAATCTCTCGCACAAATATTCATTTAAGTGTGAAAGATTTGGAAGACAAAAGTTACCATACATCAGAGATGTAGTATATATATGATATGAAAAATTATTCCTTCAGTCATTCATCTTAGAAAAATAATTTACAAAGATGTGAAATAACCTGCATTTATTTTTTGTTTATTTATGATTCACTGCACCAGATTTAATAATATAATGAGTATAAAGCCACAGCATTGCTCAAATTCTATTATTGTTGGTTTGGCAGCCCTAATAATAATGATAAATGAAAACTTTTATTTTAAACTTTTACAGCTATTTGTATGAGACCTTTTATAGATCAGGTTATAAATGTAGCTGAAAGACTGCTTGAGGAGTGTACTTATTAAATAAAAGGGAAAAAGCCAAAAGGACACCAAACTGTGGCCCTGCAGCTGCTTTCTCTAACTCTTCCTCCGCTCATCTTTTCATGCTTCACAGTGTTGTGTGTGGTGGCAATGTGCAGAGCCGTCCCCATCAACGACCTCATCTATCGAGCCTCTCAACAGTCTGACAAACTGCACGCACTCAGCACGATGCTCACCCAGGAGCTGGTCTGTACCTGTGTGTGTGTGTGTGTGTGTGTGTGTGTGTGTGTGTGTGTGTGTGCCTGTCTGTCTGTGTTTGCACTGTAAATAAATGTCACAGTCTCCCAAACATAAAAAACACAAACTTCCTGTTTAAACCCGATGCTTCCTTATTAGCTACATGCAGTGCAGTGGGTCTGCTTGAAGCTGCCTCATTAGTCAGTTCTGAATTACAGCAAACAATTTTAAACTCTTGAAAAAGCAGCAGCCTTTGTGTTGAATTAAAGCCTGCCAAGCAGTTGTTGGTTATAAGATAAGTTAAGATAACCTTTATTAGTCCCACACTTGGGAAATTTGTTTTGTTACAGCAGAAAATATGTATGGTCGTAAGTGTAAGATGTCTCTGACAAAAGGTCGGCAGTCTTAACCCAGTTTCCTTCATGGGTCGACCTTCAGGATCAATAAAGTTTTATTGAATTGCGCTGAAAAGTGGATAGTGCAAAGTTATATAGAAAAATTAGAAAAACACTGGAATAAGACAAGAATAAGATACTGTTCACAACTGTACACAATAGAATAGAATAAAATAAAAATACTATATACAATAGAATAAAATAGAATACAAATGCTATTTACAAATGAGTATAATACAACAATGCCAGAAAAGAGTATTGCTATCAGTGATCAATAAAAGTCAGCATGCTAAAGCCTGAACAATCTGTCTGATTTTTTCCCATTTACTTAAACAGCAGGGCTCTGAAGTATTCCCTATAGACAGGGTTCACGCGTGCCACACCTCCTCTCTACAGACCCCCACTGACAAGGAACAAGCACTTCAAGTATCAGTAAGTCATTTTACCTCATCTTGTTTTTTGCAACCTTGCCTACTCTCCGTCACACTGTTGCTATGTCATATCTCTGATATCTTCAATATCTCTGCATCTCTGCTCACACAAGGCACAATTTATTCAAGAGCCCCTGCAAACAGTAGTTTAAAGCCAACGAGAACAAAGGTGTCTTCATCTCACTGAGACATTATGTGCACACATGTTTTCCTCTGTTTTCCCAAAATCTCCTTCACCTTATTGTTTTGATTTCTCCTCTAGGAGTCAGATCTGTTGTCCCTGGCTCGCTCCCTCCTGCAGGCTTGGTCGGACCCTCTTGTAGTCCTGTCCTCCTCTACTAACGTCCTCCCGTACTCAGCCCAAAGCACCTTATCCAAAACTATCCAGAAGATGCAGGAGCACTCCAAAGACCTCAAGGATGGCCTGGATATACTATCTAGCAAGGTGTGTGGGCTGCAAACAATAATTTCTGAACATACATTTATTTGAACCAAGAATATATTTTTTTAAAAAGTCAAATGAAAATAATTTTTCCCGGACTCTGTTTGTGTCCAGATGGGTCCAGCTGCTCAGGCCATCACTTCACTTCCATTCATAGAAACCAATGAGATCGGCCAGGACAAGATTACCAAACTGCTGTCCTGCTTTCGCCGGGACTCTCACAAGATCGACAGCTTCTTGAAAGTCCTGCGCTGCCGGGCAGCAAACATGCAACCCCAGATGTGCTGAAGAGTGGCTGTCCAGCCTGAATCTGTGAAAAGATCGTTCTTACAGCTTCTATTGCTTATCAAATAGAGAATTGCTCATGATAGAAATTTGCTGTCTTAGATATTATCTGGTTTGCTAATTAGTAAGCTTTTTAGGCTTCAGGGATTAAGGATAAGGAGGAATTATAAGGCAGGAAACTATCCATGGTTTGACTCTTTTAGCACAGTGAGTAAAACAGTGATCTTACTTTCCACTGAGCTAATTCTGTGTGTAAAATCTCTGTGACTCCTCCTTGTCTTTTCCTTCTGTTGCAGCAGAATCCCCTGAAAGCTAATCTACTAAAGATGAAATCTAGGGCTTCAATGAAGAGTTATGTTTTCTTCCTAACTAGTGCTTAGTTGATGAGAAACTGCAGCATTTGACTTGAGTCGTGTCTTTTAAAAAGCTTTGTGAATTCAGTGCCTTTTAAGTAAACTATTTCTTTAAAATCTGTATTTCAATAAAAAAAAATCTTGCACGGTGAAATTCTGTTATTTATGTGTTTGTTTGTTTTTTCATGGGAAATGCAATACCTGTGGAAAGAATAGGAATACACTCAAGTTTCTTGGTGACCATAGACTGTATACAAAAGACAGACCTCACAGACGTTTCACAGTGGTCTTACCTACAGAATTGTTGATTCACATTTTAAAGCGTCAATTTGACAGTATTTATCTAGAGCAGTATTCGAGCCAGAAACAACCATATTTGTGTTGGGTGTTGTGCTAAGGTCATCAGCTGAAGCTAGGTGCTATAGGTGTATAGACTGTCTAAAAAGAAAGGTAGCCGCTAAATAACAGGCTAATAAAACCCTAGGATTTTGCTGACAATATTCAAGTACAAACTACAATATTTACACAAAGCCAGACAGGCTGTGCCACAGGCTGAGGAGCTAGCAAATAAGTTTAAATCAACTTGACCTGACTCACAATGATGATAACAGTTGCAATATACAGTGGGGCAAAAAAGTATTTAGTCAGCCACCAATTGTGCAAGTTCCCCCACTTAAAATGATGACAGAGGTCAGTAATTTGCACCAGAGGTACACTTCAACTGTGAGAGACAGAATGTGAAAAAAAAATCCATGAATCCACATGGTAGGATTTGTAAAGAATTTATTCGTAAATCAGGGTGGAAAATAAGTATTTGGTCACCTCAAACAAGGAAAATCTCTGGCTCTCACAGACCTGTAACGTCTTCTGTAAGAAGCTTTTCTGTCCCCCACTCGTTACCTGTATGAATGGCACCTGTTTGAACTCATCATCTGTATAAAAGACACCTGTCCACAGCCTCAAACAGTCAGACTCCAAACTCCGCCATGGCCAAGACCAAAGAGCTTTCGAAGGACACCAGGAAAAGTATTGTAGACCTGCACCAGACTGGGAAGAGTGAATCTACAATAGGCAAGCAGCTTGGTGTGAAAAAATCAACTGTGGGAGCAATCATCAGAAAATGGAAGACATACAAGACCACTGATAATCTCCCTCGATCTGGGGCTCCACGCAAGATCTCATCCCGTGGGGTCAAAATGATCATGAGAACGGTGAGCAAAGATCCCAGAACCACACGGGGGGACCTGGTGAATGACCTGCAGAGAGCTGGGACCAAAGTAACAAAGGTCACCATCAGTAACACACTACAACGGCAGGGAATCAAATCCCGCAGTGCCAGACGTGTTCCGCTGCTGAAGCCAGTGCATGTCCAGGCCCGTCTGAAGTTTGCCAGAGAGCACATGGATGATACAGCAGAGGATTGGGAGAATGTCATGTGGTCAGATGAAACCAAAGTAGAACTTTTTGGTATAAACTCAACTCGTCGTGTTTGGAGGAAGAAGAATACTGAGTTGCATCCCAAGAACACCATACCTACTGTGAAGCATGGGGGTGGAAACATCATGCTATGGGGCTGTTTTTCTGCCAAGGGGACAGGACGACTGATCCGTGTTAAGGACAGAATGAATGGGGCCATGTATCGTGAGATTTTGAGCCAAAACCTCCTTCCATCAGTGAGAACTTTGAAGATGAAACGAGGCTGGGTCTTCCAACATGACAATGATCCAAAACACACCGCCCGGGCAACAAAGGAGTGGCTCCGTAAGAAGCATTTGAAAGTCCTGGAGTGGCCTAGCCAGTCTCCAGACCTCAACCCCATAGAAAATCTGTGGCGGGAGTTGAAAGTCCGTGTTGCTCGGCGACAGCCCCAAAACATCACTGCTCTCGAGAAGATCTGCATGGAGGAATGGGCCAAAATACCAGCTACTGTGTGTGCAAACCTGGTAAAGACCTATAGTAAACGTTTGACCTCTGTTATTGCCAACAAAGGTTATGTTACAAAGTATTGAGTTGTATTTTTGTTATTGACCAAATATTTATTTTCCACCCTGATTTACGAATAAATTCTTTACAAATCCTACCATGTGGATTCATGGATTTTTTTTATATAATTTTAAGAAGAAGTAGATAGTAGATATATATATATATATATATATATATATATATATATATATATATATATATATATATATATATAGATACATTATATATATAGATATATATATATATAGATATAGATATATATAGATATAGATATATATATAGATAGATATAGATAGATAGATATAGATAGATAGATAGATAGATAGATAGATAGATATAGATAGATAGATAGATAGATATATATATAGATAGATATATATATATAGATATAGATATAGATAGATAGATAGATATATATATAGATATATATATATATATAGATATATATATATAGATATATATATATATATAGATAGATAGATAGATAGATATCTATAGATATATATATATCTATCTATCTATCTATATATATATATATCTATATATATATGTGTGTGTGTGTATATATATCTCTCTTTACGTAACTCATTCTTCTTGCTTTTTCTACTTCCGTACCATTAACTGTTTAATGCTGAATTCTCTGGCAGCTGCTCTATTCCCATGTTCTGCTCATGAAAACAGGGTTTGATCTTTAGTTTCATTTTATAAACTGGACTTATTTTTCTACAAAGGTTTGAACTTTGAGAGTATTTAAACAAGAGAGAAAAGTGTGAAAATGTAATAACACTTATTATTATTATTATGATACTCTAATGCAATTTTCTCCTCTTTTCTCTCCCACCATGGTGGGGACCATTGGCCCAGGGCCGCCCATACGGGCGCTCCGGCCCTGTCGGTGGGTTTAATCTACCCCACACTGAGCAGCGCGCTGTTCAGAGCAGCAGAGCGCTCCATCAGCCTGGTAAGCCGATACCTATCTGCCACGTTCATTCCTTCTCGGCGGATCCACTGCTTTGCTTCGGACATGAAGAACAAACATAACCAACAGGTGAAGACATCGGCTTCCAACCGATTCGACATGTCCAGCTTTGAGGTGTCACTCCAGCAACTCAACGATCTGTTGACGGACGAAAGCGGCTTCTACAGCTGGCCAACAAAACACTTCCACGAGGTCTACCCGAGGATATACGTCGGCAATGCGTGAGTCATTGTTGTCATGTATAAAGCGCTTTTTATAGACAATACAAATCCTTAATTATGACCACGTGTTTGTAAAAAGCCTGTATCATTCTGAAAATGTGCTCATACGTGCAGGATGCACTATGAAACTTACAGAAAAATATGGAGAATATGAATGAAGTTATTATTGTTATTAGATTATACCTATATGACGAGGAAAGGTCAGCCTGCAGAGAGGATTCACTGAGTAATGAAAGATGTAAACACATCATTGCATCTGTTTGCTTTGCACGAGCACGCTTCACTAATGCGCTGTAGAAAGATCTAGACGCTCCAGAGAATGAATAGCTTGAGCTTACTAAAAGGACTTATTGCTGTTAACCAGCACTGTCACATATGTGACATATTTAGATTTGTTAAAAATCGTATGGTATGGCAAAATCCATTTTTTTCTCTTGTCTGAGTGTGAAATAAAATAAAAGGATGCAGGAAACCAACCAGCATACCATGGCCTTCACAGTCTGTTTAATTTTTGAAGAGGTGGAGGGGAGAGGGAAAAATGGTAGGAGTGGAGGAGTTTATAAATAGCTCATGTTCTTAACCTGCAGAGCATCCACAGAGGCATGCTCTACTTTTACTGATTTCTGCATGGTCAGCATTGATGGCACACTGAACTGTGCTGAATTAATTTTTTTGAAATGATAAACTATACCTCAGACATCCAGGGTGTCTGAAATCATGTTTTATTTGTAGCCTATAGCATGTTTGAACAACAGACGTCGACCCAAAGTTAGAGACGGACACATTTATTTTCCAGTACTCCAAAAAGTACAGTTTGAAAATACATGAAAAGCTAAGAGGTGTCTGTTATAGTACTGTAGAAAATCAAAATTACAAAATGTGTTTCAGAATTTGTAAATTGATGAGCTGATTCATCACATAAGTCAGTGCTTTCCCCTAAAGCTTATAAAGCCCCTCTATAAGTTAAACGTATCGGCAATTGAAATACAAATAGAGGGCTGCTCTAAGAAGCATGTTAAGGAAAGTGAAATACAGGCCAACGTAGAGGGATTGGTTGAAATTTACTTCAGTTAAATGTTATTAATATAGTACCAGTCATCTCATTGGGCTTTATATTATAGAGAGTGAATGATCTGTATTAGTACCATGTGGCAACAGTGGGGAGGAAGAAAGACAAGACAGACATAAAAAAGGAAATAGGACAAAACACTAAGTTCATTTGCCATGGGGGAGGAGCTTGCCTAGTTAAGCATGCACTAAGAAGGATGAGTACAAGATGCCAAAGACACCCAGAAAACATGGTTAAAACTCTCATCTCCCTGGTGACAGCTGGTTGAAGTACGACCGCACATGTTTACATTGTTTCTGCACAGAGAAGAAGGGTAATGAGACCGTCTCTGTGTAATGAGCATTTTTAAAACAGAAACTAACCCAGTTGGTAAACAGATGGCCACACAATGTCTTTTGCACTTACTCAGATTCTTATAAGTGGAACATTTAGATGTGCATAAGCTACTTATGCACAACCAGAACTTCTCTGTACATAACGTACACAACGTTAGCACTATAAACCCAGGGATGCAACCAGGTGATTATGAAAATGGTTAGCTCAATAAAACAATGACACAATGTTTGTATTTTACTTCTCTTTTTTCCAATAAGAATGTTTGTTTTAACTGTAATACACAATGATATAGCAGAAACCCGTTCTTGAACACAATCTTTGTCCTGCTAGAAAGTCTAAGGAGGACATTCAAATGAGGTTCAAATGGTGATATCTATGGCATCAGCTGAACTTGTTTTGACTTATTTATCAAACAGGAATGTTCCAAAGTACTTTTAGTTTACCCCGATGATGTTAACAAGTTTGTCTCAAAATGTAGACTTCAGATGTTTAGCTGAAATCTTTCATTGTATATTACATGTGTGGAGTTTAAAAGAAGTAAGTCTGTAGCAGATTTGACCTCCAAGACATTAAAGAAGCTTTCAGTTGATGTCGGGTAGTTTTTGGAGCTTGATCGTTGGTAGAAACAATCTTTTTTTTCTTTTTCAAAATTGTCTTTTAAGAGTGATTATACAAATGACATGAAGCATGTTCATGAAGCTTTAGAGGCTCTGATTCAGTGGAATCAGACATTTGTTTAACTTTGTTCATAATCTCTGTGATAGCTAGCCTAAGTGTTAGCTTACTGTAGTGAAACATTTGCTGCTAACACGTGACACTACATGGCGTCTTCTTATCTCACGCTCAGAAACACTTTTTCCCCCCAATAAACATAACCAATTCTAAAAGGTAGTCACAATGTTTATTAGATGACAGATAATCATGTTTTTTAATCATATAATATAATTGATAATTAAACAGTACTGGAATTCTAATGAATCAATGCACATGTTAATGTTTGAGGTAAACATCATTTGAATTCCTTCACAGCTCTTTAATGTAAGCTGTATGCAGTGAGGAATATTCTAGATTTGAAAGAAAATAAATTTTACATGGCTGACTCTAAAAGCTTTACAGCAGCACTTTTGTTTTTTAGACCTGTGAGTCATAGCAAGACCTCTCTAGTATATGTGAAGGACAGAGCAGAAGCCCTCTCTGTTAGATCTCAACAAATGTCCTCCTCACAAACATAGGCTTGGATAGATAAGGGAAGCATATCTGCACATAACATGCACCCACGCATCCTTCTTCCTCAGCTGCTGTGTTTATGCTTTCATGTATCTGTCCTGATTCCACTGAGCTGGCGTGCAGTTTGAGCACCAGTCTGCAGTCTGCTCTATTTTTAGCTCTTTACATCTCTGAGGCAGGAGGTGCTAAGTGAGGCAGCCTTCCCAGAAGTTCACAGTGAAAAGAAGCACATCTCTCTGAGGCACAGCAGTGCATTTATATGATGGGAAAAGGAAACATGAGACAGAAACATGAGTGACACTACACTTCCTTCTTTAGCTTGCAGTCTTGTGTTCTCCAGAAGAATCTGTTAAAACTGAAGAAACACCATCAGCAACAGCTCAGGTTCATTAACCTGTAATTGCTAGTGAGCATAGACTGTATATAAAAGATGAATACAGTCACCGTGATATCAACCACTGGTTAGGGATGGGCCTTTGTGAAGGTGCTAAAAGCAAGGGGTGGATCTGACTATTATAACTACTGATATAATCCTTGTTTGACTTCATCAATGGAGTCCATGAATGTAGATGTTTATGTAGACTGTTCTGGAGATTCACAGCCCATAGTTACCTGATTCAGAAAAACATTTATTACCTTGTTGCAGAATGAATAATGAATGAACAACATGAATTATGTTTTGTGTTGTAAAAGCAAGAAATGCACAGGTGTTGTTAATGTTGGCTTATTTCCATTAAGTCACACTTAGCCAGCAGGCTTCCATAATATATAGTTTAAAACAAATCACAGTTTGTCTGGAGCCATGTTTCCATATTTAGTTTCTCAGTTTTAGCACCGTTACCTTGAAATTATTTCATTTGATAGTCTGGCGTCTGCTGGCCTCTGCTGGACACTCCCAGCACTCCTCCTCACAGCCAGACTGCACTGATTTCAGTGCATGAATTAACTGCATGTGAAAAAATTGTCATTAGATAATTGCCAATGTTTATAATGAACTCAACAATGGTGCCATTCAAAGCAACCTAACTGCCAGTTTTAGCCATGAATGGGTATTTTGTTTACTCTTCGTGCTTGCTGCAGATAAAGCTTGAGAGAATAGGAACCAAATGCGGATAAATGAAAGCCAAGGACGTAGTTCTGTGCAGCAAACATATCTAACAGTGCAAAGACAGGAAGCAAGACAGATACTGGCAGCACATCAGTAAGCAAGGGAGGCGGGTTTGTTCTTTTAGTCATAATTACTGTTTTATTCTACTTTCAAATTCAATTTTAACTCTCTAGCATCGTGTCACAGCAACAGTAATCTGCAGAAAGGACCTACAGTATCAGAGAGAAAGCTCCAACAATCAGATGATCCCATAAGATCAAGCATTTAGCAGTGGTGGGGAGGAAGAACTCATTTTTAACAGGAAGAGGCCAACAGCAGAACGAGGACAGTCGTCTGCTGTTTCTGGTTGGGAGTTGAGAGGAAAGAGATGACTACAAGAAGATCATATAGACAAACTGAGGTTACACAAAATTTTATGACATGCATTGTTTGCGATTGTGGCGAGTCCAAAGCCACACAGCGTAGAAATTTCACGAAAACCTTTTGCAGTAGTCCAAGCACTGAGTCACAGGGGTCAGACTGTGTTTAGTGTGTTGTCACGTTGATATTTAGTACAACCTGTAAGGTCCCCTTCATATTGCATATTTGCTTCTGTTCTTTTCTTGACGCAGATTTGTGGCGACGAATGTGATGCGCCTGAAGCGCCTGGGCATCACCCACATCCTGAACGCTGCAGAGGGAAACTCCTTCATGCACGTCAACACCAGTGCTGAGTTCTATGCTGGCACAGGCATCATCTACCACGGCATACCGGCCAGCGACACAGACCACTTTGATATCAGCGTTTACTTTGAAGAGGCGGCCGATTTTATCGAGAAGGCTCTGGCGTACAAAAACAAAAAAGGTCAGAATAGAGGAGCACACAGATGTATGTGAAGTATTTGAAAAAATACAGTCTTATCACGCTAACTGCAAGAAGTTCTCGCCAGTCAAGACGCTGGCTAGAACAAAAAAGAAAGACAATGTTTGCCATTAGGTTGTAAAAGGAGTGGCAAGTTTCATAAGCTTCATACTTTGAGGCCAACACGTATTAGATTAGAATTAGATTTGTCAGGTGATAACTTTGCACAGGTTCGAGGGCTTTTGATCAAACTGTAACACCTGCATCTCTTTTCCTCTGTAGGTAAAGTGTACGTCCATTGCAGGGAGGGCTACAGCCGCTCGCCTACCTTAGTTATCGCCTACCTGATGCTGCAACAGAACATGGACATCCACACTGCTCTGGCCATGATCCGACAGAAAAGAGAGATCGGACCCAACGACGGCTTCCTTCGGCAGCTCTGTCGGCTAAACCAGAGGCTGTCTGCTGAGGGGAAGCTCTGGAACAAATGAGGCAGGCAGGAAAGCATGCTTATGCTTAATCGCACACCCGTCCTTTCACTTGTTCTACAGCCTGAACGAGCCACAAATATGTGAGGGAGTGCCTGCTAAACATGGAATTTAATGTATAAATTCGGGTACACTGAATTCCCAGCATGTTTACAGGGTCTCACGTCTGTGAATATTACGTTCATCTGAGCTCACCTCGTATTTTTCAGATCCAGTCTGTGTAGCGTAAATATTTTCCTGTTGCTCACTGTTTCAGAGAACATTTTAAGATTAAGAAGTAAATGTTGATATACATTTATATATGTTGGAAGTGGTGAAAATTTAGATAGTATAGTTCTGTGTGATACTGTCACCGCCTTTTCTCATTGAAGCTTCCCTTCTCTTCCACCCTCGTGGAGTCGAGCCCTTAGTGTTGGCTTCTCTCCTGAAAACACTGCCAAATGTCTCAGTGGCAGCCGCTGCCGAAGGGGACTTCAAGTGGATACTGTGATTTTTCAAATCGAATCAATGATTTTATTGCACTAGTTGGAAAGATATAATAGCTATTTTTCAACTTCTAATACTCTGACACTTATGTACAATATCGATGTTTAGTATATGCTTTAGGTAAGTGCACATATTCTGACCTCACATCTGATAGCCTGCCTCAAAAGTATTTTTCAGTCTAAACATCATTCTACAGTTATTGTGCTTTATAGAGAAATGTTAAAATGTTTTACATTGCCAGATGGTTACCTTTTTATTAAAGAGAAACTAATGTACTTTAATATTATTGGACCTGCTAAAAAGAACTAATTATTTATGAGAGTTGGATGAAAAGATTGATGAAAACACAAACCTACAGCTGCCAGTTAGCTTAGCACAAAGGAAAATGCTATGCTGTAGCACAGTAGCTAATATAAATATCAGAAGAATTATAGTTAGACATTTTGGTATATAGTATTTTTGTAGAAATTTAATCAAACAAGGAAAAGCATGTTAAATATTGAGCTTTACAGTTTTGTGTGTACCATTATGCAAAGGTAGGCTCTTTGTTTTGTTTTTTCTTTTTCTTATTTTTCAAGCTATGCTAGCTACCTGCTAAAAGTAGCTTTGTACATATTTAGTATACAAACATGTGGTATCAGAGAACTTCTAATACAGAGCTCAACAGTAACATACTCCCTTTTTTTAATGGTTTAGGTTCCATTTTTACCACTGATGTTTCAGAAAAACCTTAAATATAAACATTTGGGTCATGAATCCAGCTAACAGGCTACAAGATGATCATGACCATGAAGAGATTTGATTTTTAATCCCACTACAAATACCAGATACCACATCAAATGATCCTTTTCATTATCCCAGTGCTGTATAATAGTTATGAGTAGTTAAGAATATCCTTTTTGAGCTTCTCCTGTGCGTGTACGTGTGTGTGTAGTGGAGTATAGCTTAAATAATGATATGATACAGTGCTTCATTTGTTATTGCAATCACTGTTCTCAGTTTCTGAGAAAACCCCCCACAAATCTAAAATTTGAGGGTATCCATAAATCACATTTTTCAAAATAAAAGGGATAGAGATAAGCGGTACCGTTCAATTTGTTGTTCCTTTAGCCATTGAACTCCTTTCGCTTGCAGTCGTTGAGGACCATCTTGCAAGTGTCCTCTGTTGAGCTTCTAACTGAAATACAGCTAAATGAGATTAGCAGGACGTTGAATTGTGCTCCCTTATTGGCCCCAGTGGTATCAATCCAATCATCTAACTCTCATCATGACCATGAAACTATTTTTCAAAATGTCAAACTCTTCCTTTAATGTTAGCTTTGGGAGATTTGAATTCTTCCACTGAGCAACTCTATAATTGTAAACTGATTGTAATGTTAATACTGCCAAAACAAGACAATTGTTTGCCAGTTGCTTCTCAGTCAACGCCTTTTGCACATTTGTATGTTCATATGAGTGTTTTTGTCAAACTATATGTAGTTTTATATACGGCAGCATGTCAAAGTAACACTTTTAGCCCTGTGTACACACAGCTGTGTATATCTGCTGAGTCATGGTGTGCATTATTAAGTGTGCATTATTCGTCACAATGTGCATTAGTGTGCCTGTGACTTGTGAATCATCATGTGCATTACTGAGTAGTGGTGATATAACTGGTCATGTCAGTAGACTTTCCGATGATGACACTGCTCTTATGAAGTGCACTTTATCCAATGACGCTGGTGATTGTTGTAGCTCTCTTTTCATATATTCATAAATAAATAAGTGAAGTAAACATGGCTGTCTTTCTTTAATGTGTGGCTTCTTTCAAAGGAAAATATCTCAGGTGTGAGATCTCAGCATGCCAAGATCCACAGCTAGAATAGAATACACAATACATAATAGCACATTTTATTTTATCCCATCATACAGAATGCAGTACCACACAATAGTATTTTTACCAACAAGGAGATTCCCAAACAGTTATGAGGTGAAATGTTTGCATATCTCAGCATGATGTCCAGTTTGTCCTGAAAACGGTCTGAAGCAGCAAAAGAAGAAGTTTCAAGCCTAAAAGCAACAAAAAAACCCAAAAAAACTCTACAGCAGATGAACAGTATCTTAAAGTCATGAACTCAAGAAGAAGAATCCAGATGTGACACAGGACCTTACAGATGATCTGGTGGCTGTCAAGAAGGCAGGGAGGGGAAAATGGGAGAAAAGAGTGTTTAAACTAAAAATCAATGTTTCATGAAATGATAAATCCAAATTTGAAATTTTTGGTTCAAATCATCATCAGTACGTATGGAGGTGGTCAGGAGAGAGATACAACAGCAAGTGTCTATCCAGTCTTTAAATGATGACATAATGAATCCTGCGTTCAATGAGGCTGTTGTGTTTTTAACATATTTTAATGCTTTGTACCTTGTTCGGTTTAATCTCAACAAGCCCCTAAAAACACTGTCACTGTCACTGTCAGATCACTGTCGGTAATAAAAACAGTGATAATAATAAAAATATATATAGGGCTTGGCTTCCTGATCAATGGTCCACTACCAAAAGGAAGCCAAGCCCTGTCACCCTTTACAACAAAACAAAATGTTGTAATGTACTCACTCGCTTTTTATTATTATTTGTAAATATGTGTACAAATGGTTGGTTTTTTGTACTGTTTTTATCAATAAATCTCAGCAACAAAGGACATACACCCATGTGTGTTGATTTCTCCCTAAGATGGCAAACTGAAACACTCCAAGTTGGTGACTGATGGCAAACTGAAACACTCCAAGTTGGTGACTTTTGGAGATTTATTTCCCTGGATGATTGAGAATGCATCAAGATGAAACACAAAAGGAAGTTCACAGCTTTTTGCAGCTCCCCCACCCCCTCATTGACACACCCCCACTCCCCTCCCTCCAGAATTCCCAGGTAACAACCTAATATACATATGAATGACTAGCCAATTTAGCTTCCACTTGGCTGAAGCTAAAGCTTAGCTAAAAGCCTACCAGCCATTTGGCAGCTCTCCGGGTTTTATAGGTAGAAAAGCCAAATGGCTGCTCTCTGGGAGTTTAAGTTTAATCACAGTGGAAGCAGGCAGAGGTTCTCTGCCATTTTTGTTTCAATTGTTTTCTCCTGTTTTTGGCTAGACAGGGACCTCGGCCATTGTATTTTGTTTTTGGACAGAGAGTTCTTGGTTTGTTTTTTAGTTAAAGGGGGTGCTTTTTTGTTGTTGTTGTTGTTTTGGCCCTGGAGACCCTGAAGAAAAGAGCTTCCCTGTGTTCATTTTTACTTTAGTAGTTTTGTGCAATAAATTAGTGATGGGAATTCCGGCTCTTTTTAGAGAACCAGCTCTTTCGGCTCACGACCGGCTCTTCAGGTTGTTTTGTTGCTTTCATTAATTTGATATTAACAACCATATATAATTATGCACAAAAGGAATTACTAATGTTTAAAAAAGTGGTTTTATTTATATATGTTTATATATAAAAAATGCCCTGTATTTGTATAGCTTACAAATAGTCCCTAAGGACCCCAAAGCAGTTTACACATCCAGTCATGCACCCATTCACACACTGGTGATGGCAAGTGTAGCCACAGCCGCCCTGGGGCGCACTGACAGAGGCGAGGCTGCTGAACACTGGCACCACCAGGCACTCTGACCACCACCACCACATTTCTGGCGTTAACTGAACTTCCAAAACAGAGCTACCTGGATTACTTAAATTACACAATTGAAAGCATATTTCTATTGTTTGTGTATTTATATACAAGCACTCATATATATTCAAATAATTTAAAAAAATGTTCATTTACCTGTTACTACCACACCAAATCCGGTCGTTGGTACTTGCTGGCTTGTGTAGCCACTAGGGAACAAAAGCTCAACACTGCGCCTAGCATCCTGGAGCACTTCTGTTGTGTTTTGTACGTGTTTTGGAGTTTGTGCGTGTTTTGTCTCTAGGGGCCACTGTAAATATACTTTTATTTATTCACTCCACATACAATGTTATAAATAAATCATATAATACAAAAGCAAACTATTTTCATTTCAACTTTTAACTATTTAAATTTTCAGCTTTTTCCTTTTAAACTAATTTAAAATGAAACAACACAAAACACTGCAAACCACAACACAATTAAATACAAATTAAAATATGAAAACAAAAAGAAGATGCACATTCTCTGTCATATGGGCGTGCATGAATAAACTTTCTGAATCCTTTATCATCCGCAACTGAAAATAGTTGTGGATGATTACTATACCTTTCTAATGTGACGTTGTTGTCCCTGACTCTTTCTCTCCCTCCCGCTCTGTTCCTGTGCTACTGCGAGTGTAACTACCGCCCCTCCCCCTCTTCCCACCGTAAAGCACAAGGCTCGTATGCTGAGTGAAGCGGAAAAAAGTGCGAGAGAGAGAGGGTGAGAGAAAGAAAGAAAAAAAACCACGGCTCCCAATAAGGAGTCGGCTCACGTTGTTCACTCCAAAGAGTCGGCTCTAAGAGCCGTTTCATTCGCGACCGACACATCACTACAATAAATCATGTCTAATGACATCTATTTTTCAGTAGTTTGTTTTCTTTTTCACTTTGTGTTACCCCCCACCCTAGATAACGCTTCGTTTTTAAGTGGGGTGTAACACTCAGTTTTTAAAACCTTACGATGTAGCTACAGCCCAGCCCATGCAGCAGTATATGAATGACTAACTTCTTATTGTTGATGGATTATCTCAGTTGTTCTCCTGACTGAAGTTTGGTCCTTTTACAGCATCCTGCCATGCGATTACATTTGTCCATCGGGAACCCTCATCTTAACTTTTATTGAGTGGAAAAAAGTTAGCGTTCATCCTCCAGCTTTACTGTGTTTATATTATGCTAACATAGCTGTGTCGCTAGCGATCACGTAGCACATCATTATATACCAGCTAGCCCAACTTCAGTAACCCTACAAACGTCACTGCTGTTTAGTTTCCTGTCTTCATTTATGTCGGAAGTGATAGCAGAGCTGTACGTATTAATTTGTTTCAGAAATCCCTCAGTCAGAACATGCTATATTATATTTAGATGGAAACTATTAAGCTAACTTCCTGCTAACTTCTAACTTCGATAAATTTCATAAATTCGATTTTCCTGGATGCCTGGATGTTAAACTTAATTGTTACACCTGGTAGAGCAGAACGCTGATCATTTTATTACAGATGAAAGAATTTAGACAGCTTTTAACTCTCAGTGATGACGCAGTGATCGTTTGACTTTGGGACCTGCAGCGGAGTTTGGGCCCAGACACAACTAATGACATCAGACTTAAAGACCGGATAGGCATCTGTAAAACATGGTGGAGGCTCTGTCATGTTTTGGGTCTTATTCAAGCCAGTGGTGCTGGGGATGTTGTCAAAATTGACAGATATATGGACAACATGGGCAACAGCTTAATTTTTCACCATGACAATAATCCCAAAACACACCTCCAATGCAGTAAAAATTTGAAAGCGAAAAATGGAACATCATCAGTAATGGATTGGCCTCCCCAGAGGCCGGACCACAACATAGGGATCATCTGGACAGAGAACAGAACAAAAGGCAGCCAACATCCAAAGAAGAGCTTTGACGATCCTTCAAGAAGCCTGGAGAACCATTCCTGTAGTAGTCTTTAAGACTACTTAAAGAAATTCCCAGAAAGTTGCCTAAGAGAATTCATTCTATGTTGAATAGTCAAGGTTTTCTTACCAGATATTGAAGTATTGGTGGTGTATTCCTGTGTATGTTTGCATGTTTCTATGAAATGCTGCACACACTATGTTGAAATGCACCTGAAGACCTTTCTGTTTCCACCCAGTCTCTCCATGGAGTTCCTACCTGCTTCATTAATGGTGGAAGCTGCCAGTAGAGTTTTTTCTTATATATTTCAGTCTAGACGCCATGCACACGATTCAGCAAAGCAGCCAAAATTGTCTTTCAAAACATTTGAATTCATATTTTAATCTCACATCTATTTTTACCTGCATCCAAATATTTTTTCGTGCACTGTCTGTACTTGTCATTAGACAACGAGGCACAAAAAGACACAAACATAAACTCTGGTAACTTTGAACATTGATATCTGGTTGTCATTTACTGTGTCCTCTAGAGGGGGCTGTGGGACTACTAGAGTTTTAACAGCAGGTTAAGCAAAGCATCACGATGCTATATTTACAACATTAAAAGTTCTATGCACTGCCAGACTTTCAGTCACAATTGTGCTGTCTTTTTGCTTCAGTGTAGCATGCATTAATGCCCACAGAAAGCAGGAAAACCCATATAAGAGTTCTGTATTTAACACTTTTGAATACCTTTAAAGGCCATTTTAGAGGAAATTAAATCTTGATTTTTATATGTTTTATGAAACAAATACATTTCCACATTGGGTTTCCAGCCAATTCCTGGAAGACTGAAACATGCAGAAGCTAAGAACTAAAGAATCAAGACACATAAAAAATATATATAATCGAAATAATAAACGCAAAATGCAAGATCTTTGAAATCCACTGTGACATTTCCACAGTGCTTCATGTCATCTGCAGGTGTTGTTGGTGGTTGGTGCATTTTGTTTTATCAAGTCCAGAATCAACACAGAACCTACAAGAAGCTTTATCTGCTACGTGAAGATGCTGATTTCCTTTTTATCACTGTGTTTGACTCGCCAGCCATCCCACCTGACCTGAACCCCACAGAGTTCTCAATTATATCTGTTATCAGGAACTCTGTGGGAAAAACACCTGACCCAGAAATACAGACAAGCTGAGGGCTGCTATCAAAG